TAAGAATCCATGGCTAGGCTGGCATGACTCATGGTTGAGCATCAACCTACGAACCAGGAGATCACGATTCGATTCCCAGTCGGGACACATGCTCGATCCCCAGTGGGGGGAGTGCAGGAGGCAGCCAATCAATGACACTCTCTCATCACTGATGTTTCTATCTTTTTCTCCCTCTCTCTTCCTCTCTCTGAAATCAATAAAAAAACATATTATAAAAAAAAATTATAAGAGTTATAAAAATAACCCTTATGCAACTATCATAGTAATAACTGATCTGCCAAGAATCATCAATGGATGCTAAAACTATTAGGCAAAAGTTTTTTGGAAACTGGATGTTTACAGTCTCAAAGAGTCTCCCAAAAAGATAAGCTGTTAATTACAAAGAAAAACATGGTAACTTTACAGTGGAGAAACCTGACAGAAGCCACCTTAACCAAGAGATCAAAATTAGCATCAATAATGGGACCAACAGTTATTACGTACCTCCTGACGTGATGTTCTCAGAAAAATACAGGATGATTTGTTTACTGTTCCTACAAAAACCCATATTCTGAGTCTAAATATGGAGAAACATCAGACAAACCCAAATTGAAGGACATTCTACAAAATCGTCCCGTACTCTTCAAAAATGTCCGTGTAATGAAAGACAAAGAAAGGAAACTAAATAGACATGACTACTAAAAGTTATGATGATAATAATATGTATATAAAAACTGATAAAGCAAATGAGGCAAAATGTTAACAAATGATGACTCTGGATGAAAGCCCACTGTAGTTTACTCTAGAACACTGGCAACTTTTCTGTAAGTTTGAATTTTTTTCAAAATGAAAGTTTAAGAAATTAAACTAAAGACCATAAGTAGAAAAAAATAAAGCTAAAGGAACCAAAGTCCCCTATTACAGATAATGAAACAGAAACACAGTAAAGTAAATGAATGGCTCAGGGTTACAAACAGAGTTAATGGCAAAGTCAAGGATAGAATTTACAGTTCAAGTGATTCATCTATTCAATACAATTCTAAAAAATAATCTCAACACAATTTTCATATAATGTGACTATTTAATGACAGTAACAATTAGCATTCACCATGAAATCTCAACAAAAGGAAGAGAAAAATGGTGGTAATGGTAGTACTAAACAAAAGAATTATGTAAGTAGTTGGTTTATTTTTGCCTTGACAATAAGGCTGAATCAAAGGCAAACATATCATTCCTTCCTTGATCCTTCTATGGACAAAAATAAACTTATTCTCCTAAATTATGCCTTCTCCAATATCTTTATTTAAGAATCCTTTCCACCCTGGTCAGGTAGCTCAGTTGGTGAGAGCATCATACCGATACTCCAAAACCTTCAATCCCCCATCACGGCACATGCAAGAATCAACCAATGAATACATAGATAAGTGGAACAACAAATCAATGTTTCCTTCTCTCTCTCTCAAATCCATAAATAAATTTAAAAATAAGAGCCCAGCTGGTGTGGATCAGTGGTTGAGCATCAACCCATGAATCAGGAGGTCTCTGGTTGGATTCCTGGTCAGGGCACATGCTATCCCCCTCCTTTCCTCTCTCTCCAAAATCAATAAAACATATTTTTTTAAAAAAGAATTCTTTCCTCAGATCATTCTAGATTTCTGAATACAAATCTGCACCTGATTTGACTGACTCCACCCCAATGGCATTTATTCATTCAACACAGATTTACTGAGCCTCAACCAAGTGCTGGGCCCACTTCTCTTTCACCAGAGATATAGCAGTGAAAAGACAAATTCCCTGCCTCATGAAGTTTGAGTTCTACTGGGGAAGACAGACAACATACAAATAAATAAAAAATAATAATATATAATTACTATAACAAACATTTTCTTTTTTTTTTTTTTTAAATGTATCTTTATTGATTTCAGAGACAGGAAAGGAGAGGGAGAAAGAGAGATAGAAACATCAATGATAAGAGTCATTGATCGTGCCCGGCCGGGCATGGCTCAGCAGTTGAGCATCGACCTGGGATCCAGGCGATCAGGGTTCGATTCCTGGTCAGGGCACATGCCCGGGTTGCAGGCTGGATCAATGACTCTCTCATCATTGATGTTTCTGTGTCTCTCTCTCCCTCTCCTTTCCTATCTCTAAAATCAATAAAAAATATATATTTAAAAAAAAAAAAAGAGTCATTGATCAAGCCCACAACCCGGGCATGTGCCCTGACCAGGAATCGAAACCCGATCACCTGAATCCTAGGTCAATGCGCACCGCTGAGCCATGCCCCGCTGGACACAAACTTTTTTTTTCTTTAAATATATCTTTATTGATTTCAGAGAGAGGAAGGGAGAGGGAGAGAGAGAGATAGAAACATCAATGATGAGAGAGTCATTGATCAACTGCAGCCCGCAACGGGGCATGTGCCTTGACCGGGAATCAAACCCTGATCGCCTGGATCCTAGGTCGACGCTCAACCGCTGAGCCACGCCCGGCCGGGCGACACAAACATTTTTTAATGAAGTAAATTAAGGGGTCAGAGCCATAGGAGGAAGGGTATACCTCTCCAAAAAGGTAACATTTAAGCAAGAGACATGAAGTAAGGAAAATATGAGAATATCTGAAAAAAAAGAAACAACAAAGTCCCTAAGGGGGGCAGGGGGAAGGGTGGAACAAATCCACCATGTTGGAGACAATATGTTGGAGACCCCAAAACTCACTTTACTGTATGTGGAGAGTTGATCTTTTAGGCTCTGACAATGCAACATGGTTCCAAGGGCTACTTGCTGGACCAACTGTTGAAATTTTAGGTTTCTTGCAACAAAATCGGTCTCACAATTTACCTGTAGGAATGAAATTATGTTGCTGTATCAGCTATTTACTGACAGTTTCCAAAAGTGCCTTAAGGTTGGAGAGTAAACCAAGGTATTGACAGAATAAGCTGTAGTCTCAACAAACCAGAAGTAAATGACCCCGAATTTTAAATCTGCAGTTCCTCTCCTAGTTTGAGGTCAAAAACTGAATGAAGTGATTCCCACTGTGTCCTTTAGTTAGCAAATGACCTGCACATTCAGAAGATGGTTCCATAATGTCCCCAAAAGACTCACCACAAGTTCTCCACTTGCTTATAGCTGCATGCCAGAATCAACGCATTCTCCAGCCTCCCCCAACTACAACCCAGTTTTGTTATCATCTTATTTATCTCCTCTCACTCTAAACTCTAATCCACCCTAATCTCACTCCAATCGGAATCTGATTCTTCATCAATTGTGGCCCCCAAACCTCTAAATCAACTACACTCTATCCATCAACTAATTAATATCATTCCTAGCTTTAAAATAAAACTGTTCCAGGAAACAATCAGTGACAAGGTGTAAGGCTACAAGACTCACATTTAGGAGTAGTATAGACTACTAGGACTTTTCTTATCAACACACCTGTGCATTTCTACACTTAAATGAATCTACAGCTAATAACTGTGGTCTCATGGGTTTAATTCAGCTACCCTTTATGGCTCTCAAACACCTCTTCTTCAAGAATGCAGAGTCTACCACAAAGCCGTATGCTGAAGGGGCAGCTGTGCCTCGTCTCTGGAATTTTGACAACTCACCTCAACTAACACAGTAGAGTTTCCTTCCTGCAGCAGCCCAATCAGGCCTTCTTTAGTCTTCCTCCCATGGAGCTTGGCTGCTTTGCTCCAGCCCTCCTTCTGGGCCTGCTCATGGAGCCAGCTCTCTGCCTATAAATTGAAAAGAAAAAGGGCAGGTGACAAAGTCACAGAATTTAGTATTGAACGGGGCTCTAAAATATGTTCAGGTCCCCTGTCCCTTTATGCTTCCTCTCAATCCCATAATAGAAACTGAAGTAACCTATCATTTACTGGCAGCCTACCGCCACATGCCCAATACTCTGCATTGTGCCTGGTGCTTTGGATAAAGCCAGTCGTCACAAAAACCTATGGGGCAGACAGTAATACTTCCATGACATATACAAGGACAATGCAACTCTGAAAGATGAAGTGAGGTGTCCAAGGTCACAGGGTTAGTGTGAGGGCACCAGGATTGTAGTCCTGGTCCCTCTGACTCCAAAGCTCACACAAGCCCTTTCAGCTCCAAGCAGCAGGAAACAGCACGGCAGTTTGCAAGATGTAATGACCTTTGTTAACCCTGGGATCCTGAGTCAACCGCTGAGGTTGTCATTTAAGTCAGAATCTTATCGGGGGTCGGCCGTCAGGTGTCACTGGGCAGCAAGTCTGACTTCCACGCTCGCGGCGCGACCTCCGTCCGCAGGCGCTGAGCTCGGGCTCCGGGACCCGCCCCGCCCCCGGCCCGGCCTCCGCGCACCTGTTTGAGGTCCCCGCCACAAGTCTCCAGAGCTTTCCTGCAGTTGACGAAGGAATAGCCCGTTTTTCGCCGCAGCTTCATGAGGAGCTCCTTGCTGGAGGCCGAGGCCAGCAGGGGCCCAGCGTGGAAAGTGTGGCGTGGCTGAGGCCACCGGCGCGGGAGGGGCCCTGCCTGGAGGGGTAAGAAGAAAGGGATGAGAAGCAGAACGCGGCGAGGCGACTCCGGAGGGACTGGGCCCCGGGGGCGAGGCCGTGAGCCGAGCCCGACCGCAAAGAGGCGATAGGGTGGGACGGGGTCCGAAACGGGGTCGGGGGTAGGGGCGCACGGGAGACCTGCAAGGAAAGCAGGTCGGTGCAGGGGCGAAAACCCCTCACCGGGCAGCTCCGGGTCCGCGCGATCGGGCAGAGGCGCAGGGACCGCAGCAGCGACATCTCTCCGGCCTCCGCACGCCGCCGGGGTCCGGCGCACTGGGGAGGCCACCGGCCTACGGCGTGGCGGCAGCGCCAAACCTCTCCACCGGAAAGCGCCGAACGGCGACGCCGCCCCCTGCCGGCCGGAGGGAGCACGCTCGCCTCCCCCCCTCCCCCCCTTGGCTTATTAAAACATTATTTCAGGATGGATGCTACCCGCAGGTGAAATAGGAAACCTCGAGACCAAGTCGTCACAAAATAACAACACAAGACATGTGGTAATACTTTGTTTCTTTATTTCCAAGGCTCTTTCATATCCATTATCCATTTATGAGTCAAGACAAAATTATGAGATAGGTGGGTGGGTTCAGAAATTTGCCAGAGGTCGCCAAGGGAGATAGGGGCCTAATCCCGTCAACAAACCCAATAAATATTTGTTGAATGAACAAAATATTTGTTGAACACTACGGTGTGCCAGGAACTATGCTAGGAGGCTTCAGGGAATTACAGATAATAAATTACAGCCCTACCCTCCAAAGTAATCTAATAGTGAGAAAATAGGGAGCAGACACATGACCACACAAGACAAATCTCATTAGATGAAGTTAAAGGGTGTCAAAAGAGAAAGAAAACACATCCAAACAGAAGGCTCAGGAAAAGCTCTTTTCAGGCTAAGAGTAATGAAGATTTTGACAGATAGAAATAGCCCTTCCAGGGAGGGAATCATCAGAGAATGAAGAAAGAAGTCAGGGAATCTTGGTGTGTGTTTAAGGAACAAAGAGTAGACCTTTTGTAATTTGGTCTGAGGTTGCAATACATTTTGGAAACCAGTGGGAAATGAAGTAGATGGAAATTTGGGATTACACGAGATAGACTGAGTACCAAGCAGAGGAGCTTATTCTTGCTTCTGTAGGCAGCAGAAGCTAATCAGAGATGATTTTGGAAGACCATGAGTTGGAGACCAGGAGTCCAGAGGAAGTGATATGTGGCTCAACAAGTAAGGATAGCCCCAACCAGAGTTACTACAGTGGGAAGAGAAAAGAGGTGAAGGAAGGAAAGATCACCAGGGAAGAAAGGACCAACAGGGCTTGGAAACCTAAAGAAAAATAAACAGAAGAACCAAGAACTTAGTGATTAGGGCCCCAGCTCCAAAAAGGATGAAATTACAGACCAAAGGACAGCTCTGCTGCCTACCCCCAGCTTCAGGCCTGGGAGTTGACCCAGTTAGAGTCATGGTCCCACCAGGCTATCTCTAGAAGCAAATGCGTGGTCTGAGGCTTCTTACTTCCCAGCCCCCCAACAAAAGCTTGAGTTCTTTGGATGTAGAAGAGATCTTTAGTGCTCATGTTTCTTTTCCTTTAAAAAAAATTATAAAAAGACAACAGCAGGACTGGAAGTGATCAGTGACCATCTCTCTGCAGCCACTGCTCTCACATTTCATTTATCCCCCCTTCCCCTAAAAACCCTGGATACCCTCCCATCATCATCCTTTGCTGAGAACAAGAGCTAGGAACTTCCTTTATGCTCTAACCCAGTGCTGCTAGGGCTCTAGGATTCTTAACAAGCAGTCACGTCCCTGCACCTGCCCAAGGGTACCCGAGGGAACAGAGGAAAAGAGGAAAGAGAGAGGCAAGGGAAATCCATCCTTTTAGGTCCTTATGTTTCTGACTTTGGAGATATGGCAGTTCCTTCATTAGGACAAGGGATTCCGAGAAGCAGGAGGGTGACATCAAGCAGGCTTTGGATCCCTATGCCAGGCCCTATAGATGTTGACATTTTCATCCTCATACCGCTGGGCCAGCTCCAGTTGGAAATGCTGGGGCAGGAGGTGCTGAAAGAAGCTCTCTGTCCCATGCTCCTCTCTCATCTTGGAGGCCAGATAGATGGTGCCATGGGGCCCGCACAGGTGTTGGAGGGTCCCCAGCAGCAGTGGGAAGGTGGGCTCCAGATACACGATATCAGCCCCCAACACGAGGTCATAATCGCCAGGGAAGACATGCTGGTCAATCCCCCAGGACAAAGCGCGGACCCGGGCCCGGCCTCCAGCTGGCACATTGGCCTGGACGTTCCCCTGGATCTGTTCTAGGGCCAGGGGCAGGTCAGTGATGGTAACATCCCCCCCTGAGAGAGAGGAAGGAAGAGAAATGCAAGTCAGAGGGACCGACAAAGGGGTCTCGGCTCCTGCCCAGAAGATCCAGAGGCCTCAGGGATCTAGAGGACAGTGTCTTGACAGCCGAAGTCCACGCTTTGGCTTTTAGTTGCCACTCTCATTACTCTACATTCTACAACATCAACATTCCCTCGAAGCTAATCTTCAACCTCTCTGCTCAAAACACAACAATCACATGTCAGCAGAAGCCTGGGCAGCACTAAGCTGGAGATGGGCTCTGCACCCACCCCCTACTGACACAGACACAGACCAGCCCTCAGGGGCCTGGAAAGCTTCCCAGAAGACATGACCTCAGTGAGCCTTAAAGGACAAGTAGGAGTTAGTCAGGCGGAGCTTTCCAAGCAGATAACAGGGAGTATAAAGGCCTGGTGGTGAGAGGGCATGGAGTATTCGAGGAAGGCTGGATCTTAGACAATGTGGGAGGGAGGAGAAAAGTGTCAAATCATGAGCATAAAGAGAACAATGATTATGACAGAGATTCAGGCTTGATGCTGAGGACAACAGGTTTTAAATGTAGAAGTAGGGGGTAAAGATAATTAGATTAGCCATCTCAGAAAGCTTCATTCATGCAATAAATATATGTATTGAACATCTAAGTTTTGGGGATACAGTGGTGAGCAAGACAAAACCTCATCCTCCCTTGAGTTTTATCCTAGAGGTAGAGACACACTAAGTACTGCAAAACTCTTTCATCATTACCATGATGACCATTATAGAAACAGCAAGTGTTAAGAATTCACTCATTCATTAATTCACATTTATTATGTGCCTATATGCCAGGTGCTGAGAATAGAGCAGTAAGCCAATCGAGACAAGGATTCCTCTGCTCATGGAGCTTACAGTCTAGTGGCAAAAATGGAAGATGAACAAAACACATAAAATACACTGCACATGAGATGGTAATAAGTGCTCTGGTGAAGGAAGCACCAAGCAGGGAAGAATAAGAACTATTTGAGGGCCCTGACCAGTTTTGCTCAGTGGTTAGAGCATCAGCCTGTGGACTGAAGGGCCCCGGGTTCAATTCCAGCCAAGGGCACATACCTAGGTTGCAGGCTCAGTCCCTGGCTGGTTGGGGGCGTGTGGGAGGCAACCAATCAATTCACAGAGATGTTTCTCTCCCTCTCCCACTATCTCTAAAAAGCAATGGAAAATATCCTCAGGTAAGGATTAAAAAAAGAAGAGCTGCTTAAGGGACAGACAGGAAATGTAATTTTAAATGGGATGGTTAGGGAAAGCCTTACTGAGGAGGTACCTTTGGGCAAAGAAAGATGAAAGCGATGGAAAAAAACCACTTGGGTCTCTCAGGCTAAAATGTACCAAATGAGGGACCACAAAGCTCAAAGACCTTGAGGCAGGAGTGTGCCTGGCAGGCCTGAGGAGCAGCAGGAAGGCCTGGTTGCTGGAGTAGAGTGAGGGGATAAAAGTGGGGGACAGATCCTAACCAGGGCCTTTTCAGGAGGCTGAGAAATTGGGCTTTTAGTCTGGGTGAGATAGGAAGCTACTAGATAATTTTAAATGGAAGAAGGACATACACTGAGTTATGCTTTTAAAGGATTACTCTGGCTGCTGGGATGAGAAAAGACGGCAGCGGGGCAAGTTCAGAAGCAATGACCCCAGTTACATGATGGTGGTTTGAACCAGGGCAGTAGCAACGTCTTACAAGTGGTCGGATCCTGGATATATTTTGAAGGTAGTCAACAGAATTTGCTGACAGGTTAGATATAAAATACTAGAGAAAGAAGGAAATTGAGCCTGGCACCAAGATGTTTGGCCTGACCAACTAGAAGACCGAACTACCATTCATTTAGATGAAGAAGACTGCAGGAGGAGCAGGATTGGACAGGAAGATCATGAGTTTGTTTCTGGACACATTAAATTTGAGACATCCATCAGACAAGCACACCATATCCCAGTAGCTGAGGTTACACAAACAAGTCTGGAGGGAGACATAGGCCAGTCAGAGAGTTATCAGCATAGAAAGGGCATTTAAAGCCATAACACGAAAGGATTGCTTGGGACTGAGTGCAGACAGAACAGGGAAGGGCTCACAGCACTTCTCCTGAGCCCTGGAGCACTCAGATGAAAAGTAACCAACAAAGGAGAACGGAAAAGAATGCCAGTGAGGTAGACAGAAACTAAAAGAGCGGCGCCCTGGAAACCAAGGGAAGTGCTTCAAGGAGGAAGGAATGTGAAATGCTGCAAAGTTAAGAAAAGTGGGCTCATAACTGACTCCTGTGTTTAACCACATACAGTTGGGAATGAAGCTCACAGCTTTGACTAGAGAAACTGGAATGGATGGGGCATGAGGGGGCTCTCCTTGAAATGGACTGAGGAAAGAATAGGAAGAGGGGAACTACAGACAGTGAATATTAACTCTTGAGGAATTTTTGTCATAGAAGAGAAATGGCATGGTACCAGGAAGGATATGTAGGATCTAGAGTTTTTCTGAAATAGAAGAAACTACAGTGTACTTATGTATGTTATACATATACATACACACACAGAATGAACCAGAGTGAAGGAAAACCTGATAAAGCATGAGAGATGTGGGAGGAGAGGTGTTTACTGGAACAATGCCTTGGAGTAGATGAGAAGGTCTGGTGTCTCCTGACAAGTGGGGGGCTTGACCTTAGCTAGGAGCATAGCTCTCATTCATTCATGGTACACACACAACAGGAGAGAAGGCAGCACACACAGACCCAGATGCAGTAGAGTAGAACATGTGGACTTTTTCTATGAAAAAATAGAAGCAATCAAAAGAGATAGGAAACAAAGTCTTCAGATAGGGGAGGAAGCATTTGGAGGTTTGAAGGGCAAGAAGGTAACAATCAGGTGTTTAGGAGAGGAGACTAAGTGGACAAGGGAGGGGTAATAGGCTAGCTGGATAGCACTTAAGGATGCACCTGAGGTTAGTAACAAATTTAAAATGAAACCAGTCAGCACAGTTGTGTATATACTAGGAGGGCCTGAGCTAGCCTGGGGTGGCAGTGTCAAGGAGGCCCTCCCTTGGAAGAGATGTTTGAGCTGAGTACTAAAAGATGCATATGCACTAACCAATTGGTATGAGGATTTCAGACACAGAGTACAGCCTCTGTGAAGGCTCCAAGGAAGGGAGCATCAAGATGAGTCCCTGGCCCAGTAACTTATTGGTTAGAGCATCATCCTGATACTCCAAGGTTGTGGGTTCAATCCCCAGTCAGGACACATACAAGCATCAACTGTGAATGCATAAATGGGTGAAACAACAAATCGATGTTTCTCTCTCCCTTCCTTTCTTTCTCTCTAAAATCAGTTATAAAAAGCCCTGACCACTGTGGCTCAGTTGTTTGGGCATTGTCCCATGCACTGAAAGGTTGCTGGTTTTTTCCTGGTCAGGGCACATGCCTGGGTTCAGGCTGGATCCCTAACGGGGGGTCTGCAGGAGGCAGCTGATCAATGTTTTGCTCTTATATCAATGTTTCTCTCTCTCTCCCTGTTCTCTGAAAAATCAAAAAATCTTAAAAAAAACACAAAAAACAATAAAATCAATTTTAAAAAAAGATAGACCTGAGGAACTGACAGAGGGTAATAGATAGCACAAGGCACAAAGGAAGGGGAGGGAGAGGCACAGAAAGAGGCTAGAGAGGCAGGCAGGGCCTTGGAGGCTATGCTAAAAACATGTTGGTTCTAATCTGAAAGCAACAAGAAGCTACTGAAAAATGGAAGTAGGGGGTAATTACAGTTACATTTTGAAAAGATCACTCTGACTGCTGGGTGGAGTGGTCAGAAGTCTAGGCGGTGGCAAGGAGTTGAAGCAGGAAGACCAGTTTGACTAATTGTGGCAGTCTAGGCAAGTAATGGTGGTGGCATGAATGGGAGAGCTGTCAGTGTCCATGGAAAAACATGACATTTAAGATCCTATTCACCAAAGTCAGCCCAATAAATAAATAAATAAGAGTTTTAAGAGATTTTTAGGAGATCAAATCAATAGGACTTGAATAACGGGTATGAGGGTGAGAAAAAGAGATGTGTCAAAGGTGATGTCTAGGTTTCCCACTGGGCAGGTGGTGGTTTCCTTCACTGAGACTGGGAAGTCTGAGGAAGAAGCAGGGTTAGTGGGAGAAAGATCAAAAGATCAAATTTGGGCATGCCAATCTTCCCCATCGGAAAACTCTAATGAAAATCCAGGGAGGAGATGGCAGTGGCCTGAACTAGAGATGGTGGGAAGAGCAGACAACTGGGGAAGCATTAAGGACATAGGGTTGGCTGATTGTCAGGATGTGAGGGAAGAAGGTAAGGGACAAGGTGACAGTCAGATTTGACTTGGCAGCTGGATAGGGGTCAAAGGAGGAGAAACCAGCCTAAGAGTAAGGGAAAGTAGGTGTTCTCAACCAGGCTACAGGCTTTTCTCCAATTTTAGCATAACTGCCCACATCTCATTTACCCTTCCTCATGGAAAACTACTGTTGCCACTCATTCCATTCTTTCTGAGCCTGCTGTGTTCACACTGTTCACCTCTTTCCCTTCTAACAGAGCTTCTTTTTGGATTCCAGGGAGTCAAGGGAGCATGGCCAGACTATGTCTGCTGGCTCTGTGCATGCCTCACCAGAGTTATTGTACTGTAACATCTTCCCTGTCTTCCCCACTAGACCATGAGCTCCTTGGGGAGAGGAAATCTTACTTGTATTCTAGTACCTAGCATGACTTTGGCACATAGAGACCCCCAAATACATGTTGGCTGAATGAACAGAAGAATGAGTGCCTGCCTCTGGCAAGACTTCCCTGAATGTAACCCAGTTGTGTCCCTCCCTCCAAACAAGGATATGTTAATTTGCATTTCTAGGGAGATGACATCTTAAGTGTTTTCGGTCTGAGGTTTTGCCTATCAGATTACAAATTTAAAAACTGTTTCCTTTGTAGTTTTTGGTTCTTGACAAAAGTGAAGCAAAGTTTTCCTTACCTTTTCCTTTTCCAGGTCTGTGGTGCCTAATTCCTACCCAGCTTCCCATAAAACACACCCTAACCCTTAGAAACTCTTAAGCTTTCTCCCAAGCAATCAAAACCTTAAAAATCTTGCCCGGCCGGACATGGCTCAGCAGTTGAGCGTAGACCTAGGATCCAGGCCATCACGGTTCGATTCCCAGTCAGGGCACATACCCGGGTTGCGGGCTCGAACCCCAGTCAGGGGCGTGCAGGAGGCAGTTGATCAATGACTCTCTCATCATTGATGTTTTTCTCTCTCTCTCCCTCTCCTTTCCTCTCTCTGAAATCAATAAAGGTATATTTTTAAAAAACAACCTCAAAAATCTTTAAAAAATATATACTACAGCTGGGTGTGGCTCAGTGGTTGAGCATTGACCTAGGACCCAAGAGATCGGGGTTCGATTCCCTGTCAGGACACATGCCCAGGTTGCGGGCTGCAGTTGATCAATGACTCTCTCATCATTGATGTTTCTATCTCTCTCTCTCCCTCTCCCTTCCTCTCTCTGAAATCACTAAAGATATATTTAAATTAATTAATTAATTAATAATAAATAAATAAATAAATAAAATATACTCATAATAAAGTTATAAAGCACTTAGGAGGTTTAATACCCACAGGTTACTTCCCCTACAAGGTACCCCCAAATAGGCATCTTGCCAGAAGACCATGTCCAAAGCAAAGGCGCTTTTAAGTGACAGTATTGTCCATGAAATCACAAAAAGGAAAAAGGTAGAAAAAATTCTTTCTATTAAGGCCTGCGGGGTTTTTATATTCTGCCCCTAAATCAACCACCTTGGGAGCTCTGACAACCAGTAAGCACTGCCTGACACACAAAAGCAGGCGTTTAAAAAGGGGGGGAGGGGGACTAGGCTGGTCCCAAATCATTCCCCTCTCCCAAGAATCCAGGAAGGGACCATTTCTCCACATCCCCGTCCCCGTCCCCCCAACCCTCTCTGAACCCCAAAGCTCACGCACCCTGCAGCGCTGCCAAGATTCCCACGATGCCGGTCCCCGCACCCAGTTCGATCACCTTCTTGTCTCGGAAATCCACATTTTGATTTTCGAAATAGTTGCACAGACTCACAGCCTATGAGTGAGAGAGAGAGAGAGAGAGAGAGAGAGAGAGAGAGAGAGAGAGCGCGCCTGAATGTCGAGGGGATAGCTCCATATGGCAAAGGGAGAGTCCGGGGTGTGGACCTCCCGTGGACCCTCGCCCGGAGCCACCCACTCCTCACCGCGTCCCACACGCGCGCTGCCACCCCGAGGCGGGACCCGAAGTTCTGCGTGATGCTCAGCACGTGCCCACAGAAACAGAACCGGCTCCTCTCCGAGTAAGAGTCGGCGAAGAGTCCGACCTCCCGCGGGAACACCGACTCGGGCTCGGATGCAGAATCTGGACGGAGGTCCGCCATCTGGTCCAGAGAGTTCGGGACGCCGCCAGCAGTCCTGGGATCCGGGATCTGGAGCAGGGTCGGGGGTGGGGGGCCTCGGGCCCTCTGGCTGCCCCGTGGCACCGAGCCCCGCCCCCCTGCAATTGCCCTCCTCCCTCCAGCTTGGCTTCCTGGAGGTGGGATGGGGAGCCGCCCCTCCCACTCCGGTCCCAGCCCACCCGACGGGACTCACTCCAGACCACGCAGGTCAGACCTGGCAGTCTGGCTCGAGACCCGGAGAGAGGGGAGCGGAGCGAGGATTAATTCTACCGTAGGAAGTGGGGTTCCCAAACCCCTTTTACCTACGGGGTGCACGGTTTCCTGAAATCAGAATAGTAACCCAGACCAGGCCGACGCAAGCTAAGGAAAGCGGTCCGGCGCGGGTCGGGGCCATGCCTGCACCCTTTGCAGACACACGGAGCAAAGGCGCCTCGCCGCCCTCGGGTCCGCCCCGCCCAGCGCAGTCGAATCTTCTCCTGGGTCTTTAAGGGGCGGGGCCTGCTCACAACGTGTTGATGCGTCATTAGCGTGCGCCGCGGGCCTCAGGCTCCACGTGGATTCGGTAAAGAAACTCCCAGCTGGGATCATGGCGGGAGCCGAGGCCCCGCAGCCGCAGAAGCGTTACTATCGGCAGCGTGCTCACTCCAACCCCATGGCGGACCATACGCTGCGCTAGTGAGTGAGCAGGGCAGGGGGCAGGGGGCAGGAAGGAGGGCGGGCTACGCAGAATGGCCCCAAGCACCAGGAGAGGACTGTGCGTGGACGGCAGGGAGGGTTCAGGACCCACCCGGGAGGAGCCGCTGGGTGACGTCAGTTTGGGGGGGTAGATT